CCCAGACCCACCAGAAGAGTTGGCAGGACCTCCCACTTCTCCCATTCCCTTGTTCTCTCCCTTTAACCCCCCAGAACCACCCTATGCATGAGCCCTCATCAGTGCTAGGGGAATCCTGCTTTCCTCAACACCATTCACCCACCCCCTCCCCCTGCCCCGAACTCAGGGCCCTGCCCCCCTCTCTCAGCTGTTTCAGAACCTCAGGACCCTCATGACCCCTTACCGGGTCACTTTTGAGTCCCCCCTGGAGCTGTCGGCCCAAGGTGAGTTTGCCAGGCTGGCTCCCGGCCTGCGGGGTGGGGTGCAGGAGGCAGAGGCCTGAGACCCAGCCCCCTCTCCTTCGGCCCCAGGGAAGCAGATGATAGAGACCTACTTTGACTTCCGGCTGTACCGCCTGTGGAAAAGCCGCCAGCACTCCAAGCTGCTGGACTTTGAGGATGTCCTGTGAGGGCCACGGCCACCGCCCGGCTGCTTCCTTGGACCAGTGGCTGGTGCTGGGCCACGTGCTGTGTGCCGCCCAGGACCACACGGGTCCCAGTCTTCACGGCCGCTTCAGGGCGCCCTCCGATGTCGCTCAGGTTCCTCCCGCAGGTCTGGTCCTCACTGCACCACAGGCCAGAGGTCACAGCCCCTGGGGCCCCGGGACGAGCCTTGCCCCGCGTGGCCAGGGGTTGCTCAGTGGCCAGGCACTGACAGGGCCTAGGCCTCCCCCAGAGGTTGCAGCGCTGGGGCGGCTCCTCTTAGCGGGTTCATAGAAATAAGTGCAATTTTCACACCCCGAAAACAATTCAAAGGGAAGCAGCATTACTAGTTGAATAGTTAAGTGCTATGTTACCAGTTACGGTGTAGACAACCTAGCCCAGTGTGTGTTCAGGACCTTCTCTGCCCCCAGCCCCCCAGCCCTGCCGTATTTGATCACCAGCACCAGGGTGGCCCGTCTGCGGAGATGGTGTCGCCTGGCTGCCCGGCCTGGCTCCGGCCCTGGCCGAGTCCCTGATGGTCTTTGCTTGTTCCCTCTTGCCACCCACTGCTTACTCTGACCTCAGCCACACCGGCCTAACAGGGGTGCCTGGGCAGCCGTGGAGAGGAGGGAAGGGCACACCCTCCCCTCTCTCAGGAGGCTCTGGGTTGAGCCGGGCCCTGCCTGCTCCCCGTCCTCCAGCACCCGCCTGGCCCTCTGATGCCGCGGTGCATTCAGCTTTTGCCAGCCTTGGTCTGGAGGCTTCTCCCAGCACAAAGGGTTTGGCAGGGGCGGGCGGGGCTGGGCCCCGCTGGGTGCCTGGACCCCGCAGCAGCGCTGAGCGGCCGGTGGACTCTGGGCTCGTGGCCTTGCTGGGGCCCAGTGGGGCCGGCTCTTGTACATAGCTGGGGCTCAGGGGCAGGACCCCTTTGCAGAGCCTGAGTCTGAGGACACCTGGCTGTGCCCTCAGCTAAGGGAGGGGGCAGGGGCATGTGCTGGGCTCTGAATGATGTACGATATCCCTTAGAGTGACCATTAAACCTGACCCTCTGCTGCGGCCACCGCCTGGGTCTCCTCTGTCAGCCCTGTCCCTTACCTCCCTGGGCCCAGGAGCTTCTGGGTCTGCTGGTCCACGCTTGCTGCTGTGGTAGCTGCCCGCACACCTCTGCCTGGACTGACAGGGCTGGGTGGGGCCGCTCGACCTCCCTGCCAAGGGCACACTCCAGAAGAGGGCCTGGCAGCCAGGGAGGGGAGGGGAATGGAAAAAAGCAGGTTCTTGAGATGGCTGCTGGGGAGCAGGGGGTACGCTCCTGGAACAGGGCTGAGAAGGATCAGGAGGTGCAAACAGAGACACTCCCATGCCCTGCCACCTCTGCCTCTACTCCCAGGCACCGGGCAGAGGGCCACCCGTGTCCCGCAGACCACTCTCTGCACGTGGTCAGCAGTGCGGCTGCAGCAGGATGCCAGGAAGTAGCCACGGGACCAGCTGGCCACTCTCTTCCTGTCATCCCCAGATGTGCCTAATGCTGCTTCCACCCCCCCGTGGCAAAGCTGCTGCTGGACACAGCCAGGCCTGGCTGCCCGGTGGCCCCTGGTGCAGTGGCCTAGGGACGGAACGGCAGGTGCGTCCCTGCCAGCGAGGCCTGGAGGGGACTGGAGGCCACCAGCGGACAGTGTGGGTGGAGGCCGGGAGGCTGGAGGCCCGGGATGCTGAGAACCTGGAGCCAGGCACCCCTCCTGGGGTGGGCATGCCAGGTGCTTCCGGGGTAACCCCCACGGGGCTAGGGCAGGCCGCAGAGGCGCTCACACCCCATGATCACACACGCAGATCCCAGGTGCCTGTCCACACTCTCACCAGTGAGTCACTCACTCCAAAGTCACGTGCCACCCGGGAGTTCTCCGTGCTCCCGGTCCCTGGGCCGTGGCGCATCTCCCCTGCTCTCCCCTGGAGTCTCCGTGGTGCCGCCGGTCGCGCTCTGCAGGCTTCTGTCGTGCGTGTGCAGGCCGTGGGGCTGGCTCTGCCCGACTCGGCCCCCGCCTGCCCGCTGTGCGCGCGCCTGAGGCCCTCGTCCCCGGACCAGCCGGAAGCTTGTCACGGGCCCCTGGCCCTCACCTGGCCCTCACCTGGCCCTGACGTGGCCCTGCAGCTGCGGGTCCGGGGCTGCCTCCACGGTTTGTCCTCCCCGCACGCGTCTTCGGCATGGCCGTGCTGGGCAAGGCGGGAGGCTCGAGTGTTACAACTGGCTCCCGAGGGTCCGTTCCGCGCCCGTGACCTCTGAGAAGTGTGGCGGGAAAGGCGTCAAGTGTGGGAGGCACCCAGTCCAAGCCCAGCACGACGCAGACAAGCATTTTCGGGAAGTACAAGCAGGGAAAGTGGGGCTGAGGCCCTGCCGGCCCACCCACCTGCCCGCAGCTAGAGGCAGTGACAGGCTCACAGTCCTTGACATGTGAGAAGTTCTTTCTTAAATTAAAAAAAAAAGAAATTGTTTTAACATTTATCCTTTTTTGAGAGACAGAGTGTGAGCAGGGGGAGGGCAGAGAGGTGGGGGAGGCAGAATCCCAAGCAGGCTCCAAGCTCTCAGTGCAGATCCCAGGCAGGGCTCGAACCCACAGACCGCAAGATCACGACCTGAGCCCAAGTGCGACACTTAGCCGACTGAGCCGCCCAGGGACCCCACCTTGTAAGTTCTTAAGTATGAATAAGAGAAGGACATGATTGATTTCAGCTCAGGTCATGATCTCAGTTTGTGGGTTCGAGCCCTGCGTGGGGCTCTGCGCTGGCAGTGTGGAGCCTGCCTGGGATTCTCTCCCTCTGTCTCTGCTCCTCCCCCGCTCATTCTAACTCTCTAAACAAATAAACATCATGGGGCGCCTGGGTGGCTCAGTCAGTTAAGCGTCCAACTTCCACTCAGGTCATGATCTTGAAGACCGTGAGTTTGAGCCCCACGTCGGGCTCTGTGCTGACAGCTCAGGGCCTGGAGCTGCTTCAGTTTCTGTGTCTGCCTCTCTCTCTCTGCCCCTCCCCCACTCATACTCTCTCTCTCACTCTCAAAAATAAATAAGCGTTAAATAAATAAATAAATAAACTTTTAAAAATGACAGAATCCAATCGGGGAAGATAAACAAAGATCTGAGGAGATAACTCACAGAGAAGGAAGTCAAGTAGCTGACAACGTATGGAGAGTCTTAATCCCTTTGGGAATCCAGTGAAAGCCAACGAAAGGACTGCGGTCTCACTTCTTGCCTGTTGGCTTGGTAACATCAGGATATCAGTGCCCTGTGTTGGCAAATGTGCAGAAAGGTACTATGAATTGCCACAGCCCTTCAGGAAGATAATCTGGCCACAGCTCTTAAAACATAATCAAGGGGCGCCTGTGGGGTTGAGCATCTGACTTCAGCTCAGGTCATGATCTCACGGTTCGTGGGTTTGAGCCCCGCGTCAGGCTCTGTGCTGACAGCTCAGAGCCTGGAGCTGCTTCCGATTCTGTGTCTCCCTCTCTCTCTGACCCTCCCCTGCGCACGCTGCCTCTCTCTCTCTCTCATAAATAAAACATTTAAAAAATAATTTTAAACTTAAGAGGAAGAAATCAAACAACTCAGTTTCAAAATGGGCGAAAGACATGACACCAGCAGAAGGGTTGTATGTGTGCAAACCCAGGCGCGGGCAGGTGCTCAGCATCATAGCCGGGCCCACCCATCACATGGGCTACAATGAAACATTGTGATTCCAAACGCTGGCAGGAGGTGGGGGGAATGCAGAGAACCTGGACCTTGCTCTGGAAACAGGCAATTTGGAATTTATTGAGGCGTGACTTGGTCACACACTCAGCAGCTGTCTCCTGGGTGAGACTTGGGCACCAAGATCCGTGGCTGTGAAGAGCTGGATCTTCCCCAAAGTGGAAACTCCCCAGATGCCTTCCACGGGGGCAGGCCACGCAAACTGCGGCCTGTTTATGCAGACTGACTCTGGCACAGAGCAGGGACCTCAGAGCCCACGGTGGCTGCTGGCCTCACACCTAACCCTGTGACCAGGAGACAGAACTGTGACCGGAGCCAGTTGGTGGCGCTGGGCTGGGCAGGGGCAGGGCGCGACCCTGGAGGGGCAGAGGAGGGGTGCCCGGTGGGTCTGACTGTGGCTGTGCTCCTGTGAGCCCACGCGCGTGCACAAGAGTGGGGCAATGTTATTGTATGCTTGAAACCCCCAAGCACAACATTGCTAATAAGAAGCTGGATCTCCCTCCTCCCTGGACCACAGGCTAGTTGGGCCTCTGGCCTTTGCTCTGGCCATGCCCTGGGTCACCTGATTGACCTGCCCTTAGCCTGAGCCAAGGCACTGGGCTTCCCCCTGGGAGAGGGTGGGGTAGGAGGGCAAAGTCCGAGCACCTCCAGGGAGGGGGGGGCCCACTTGGGTAGTCACTGCCTGGGGCAGGTAGGGAAGGGGAACTCTAGGCAGCAGGTGAGGGCATAACCCTGGGTGATGGGGGGCGGGGGTGGGGCTCTCTTGGCCAGTCTGTGAGTGCGAGGTGGGCAGCACCAGCCCACAGTGGACGGAGTTCGCAGGCTCTGTCACCTGCCTGGTGAGGTCCAGGCAGAGGTGGGCGGTGACTCGCTGAGGGAAAGGGAGAGGCAGGACCACACCTGGCAGGTCCCTGAGGACAGCAGCCCTGAGGCCTCCTTGCGGCAGCCGGCTCTCCACCAGCCCAGGTGAGGGGCTGTCCCGGTCTGGGGAGGCTGTCCCGGTCTGGGGGGCTGTCCCGGTCTGGGGGGCTGTGCCGGTCTGGGGGGGCTGTGCCGGTCTGAGGGAAAGGGAGAGGCAGGACCACACCTGGCAGGTCCCTGAGGACAGCAGCCCTGAGGCCTCCTTGCGGCAGCCGGCTCTCCACCAGCCCAGGTGAGGGGCTGTCCCGGTCTGGGGAGGCTGTCCCGGTCTGGGGGGCTGTCCCGGTCTGGGGGGGGGCTGTACTGGTCTGGGGGGCTGTCCTGGTCTGGGGAGGCTGTCCCGGTCTGGGGGGCTGTCCCGGTCTGGGGAGGCTGTCCCGGTCTGGGGGGGCTGTACTGGTCTGGGGGACTGTACTGGTCTGGGGGGCTGTCCCGGTCTGGGGGGCTGTGCCAGTCTGGGGGGCTGTCCCGGTCTGGGGGGCTGTGCCAATCTGGGGGGGCTGTCCCGGTCTTGGGGGGCTGTCCTGGTCTGGGGGGAAATGTCCCAGTCTGGAAGGGCTGTTTCAGTGTGAGGGGGGCTGTCCTGGTCTGGGAGTGCTGGCCAGTCTCGAGTGGGGGGGGTGTTCTGGCTGTTGGGGAGTCTGCCCATCCTCTTTGCCCACTGACTGGGGACTCAAGGTGAGGGGTCTCAGATTGCCGTATCCCTTGGAGGCAGGGATGAGGTGGGGTGCCAGTGTCCAGTGTCCCTGAGTCCTTGTGATGTAGCCTATGACCCAGCTTATTTCTCGTTTGGGGGCACGGGCTGGGTCCCCTCTGGGCCTCACCAGTCCTCTGAGCCTCTCTCTCCCCCTCTCTCTTCCCACCCTAAAACGGGCCCCTAATGCGCACAGCCTGTCCCATGCCACAGGTGGCCAGAGCCCCAGGACAACGGCATCATCATCCCTGCCTGTCAGTCCATTGGAAACAAGCACATGAGGGATGTTTACACTTTTGTGAGAGACACAGTGTGGTACGAAATCCCAGGAATCTCTGAGCCTGGGAGAGTCTCCTTCGGGCAGAGGCGCCGGTGGGTTAGGGTTAGGGTCACCTGTGTGTGCGGCCCGGCTTAGCGACTTTTGGGGCCCAGGGAGGGTCCTGCGGGGGCCCAGCCCACTGAGCTGGGCACCTCAGCCCTGTGCAAACTGCATTCCAGCCCCGGCCAGCTGCCCGGGGCCGTGTGGGGCCAACTGCAGAGTTTCAGAATCAGATGAGAGAAGGTAGCGGTTGGCTTTTCAAATAGAGACCAGTGTCTTTGTTCAGAACTCCCCGATCTCAAGTTCCTTCCAAGAAAATGTGCTCCTCGGGGCCCCGCTGACCTCACTCTCCAGGGCACATGGAGGCCGCTTGGCAGCAGTTACATGTCCAGCGGGTCACCTGTCCTCACCTGGTTTGGGCCCGACCTCAGGGCTCCCAAAGTGAAGACCCTGCCCTGGGAGAGACCTGGGGAGGGGCCGCAGAGAGGAGGCAGGAGAGGCAGCGTCCTGGGTCCGCTGAGGCCCGTGTGGAGCTGACCTGCGGAGCCGGGACTCCTCCTGGGAGGGGAGGGGAGGCGCCTGGGGGGCTCAGTCGATTAAGCGTCTGTCTCTTGATTTCAGCTCAGGTCATGATCCCAGGGCCGTAGGATCGACCCCCAAGTTGGGCTCCGCACTGAGCATGGAGCTTGCCTGGGATTCTCTCTCTCCCCCTCTCTCTGCCTCTCTCTCTCTTTCTGTAAAATAAAGAAAAAAGAAAGGGGTTCTTCTGGGCCCCGTCAGCACCATGTGTCTCGGGCTGGGCCCTGGCCCCACAGCACCCCCGGGCAGGCCCAGCTCCGGCGTGGCCTTCAGCTCTGCCTGCTGACCGAGCTCAGACGCGCGGAGCCCCCAGGGGGGCCGGGGGGGGGGGGTCCAGTGCCCGCTGCTGCCCACGCCCGCAGGTGCCGACCCTGCCCTCCCTCATGGGGCCGGCCTGGAGGCAGTGGGTCCTGACAGGCCTGCTCGGGGCCGCGGCGGCCTCAGGCCTCACCACGCTGCTCCTCACCCTGCTGGAGGCCGCTGATGTCCTCCTGCCCACGGGCAGCAAGGTAGGCCCGGCCGCGGGCAGGGGAGGCGGAGCGGGCTGAGCCTGTGCCGGCCCCACGCCCTCTGACCCTGTTGTCGCTCTCAGTTCGGCGTCGTGTTTGACGCGGGGTCCTCCCACACGTCCCTCTTTGTGTACCGGTGGCCAGCGCACAAGGAGAACAGCACGGGCGTGGCGAGCCAGGCCCTGGCCTGCCAGGCGGAAGGTCGGTAGGCAGCTCCCGGGGCGGCGGGCGGGCGCGCGTGGCCGCTGGGTGGGAGGGACCCCAGCGGGCCGGGGGGCTGGGAGGTGGTACAGGCTGGAGGCAGCCGGGAGCCACACTTACGGCTTTTAGCAAATCAGCAAACGAACCTAAAGGAAGGGTGGCTCGGAGAGGTTGGGTGAACTACCCAAGGTGGCGCAGCTGGTCCGTGCGGAGCTGGGCCAGAGCCTTCATGTGCCCGCAGGGAAGCGGTGCAGAGCCCACCCAGTCCTTCTTGCCTCTTCCGGCTTCTGGTGGCTCCCGGGCTGTGGCCACATTGTTCCAGCCTCCCCCCCAACCTCACATGGCCTTCCTCCTTGTGCGTCTGGACTTCTCTCTCCTCTCTCTTAGAAGGAAATGGGTCATCTGAGGCAGGCTCCAGGCTCTGAGCTGTCAGCACAGAGCCCAGTGTGGGGCTCGAACCCACGGGCCATGAGATCATAAGCTGAGCCGAAGTTGGACCCTTAACCGACTGAGCTACCCAGCCACCCCCCCCCCCAAAATCACCGTTCAAAGACAAGCATCAGAACACAATAATGAAAGATAACGTGATTATTTGTGTTCAATCAGCTTTTTACCATAGGGTTTGTTTTGCTTTTTGGTTTGTGGTTTTTTTAATCTACATGGGTCTTTAGGGTTCGTCTAAAGGGAAAATCCTCAGGGCGCCTTGGGTGGTTCAGTCAGTCATGATCATCACGGTCATGATCTCTCAGTTCGTGATTCAAGCCCCGCGTCGGGCTCTGTGCTGACAGCTCAGGGCCCAGAGCCTGCCTCAGATTCTGTGTCTCCCTCTCTCTGCCCCTCCCCTGCCTGTGCTCTGTCTCTCTCTGTCTCTGTCTCTCTCTCAAAAAATAGAATAAAACGTTAAAAATTAAAAAAAATAAATAAAAGGATATGGTCACTGGGTTTAGGGCCCACCCGGGGAACCCAGAACGGTCTCATCTTAAACCCTTAACTTAATTACATCGGCAGAGACTCCTCCTCCAAATGAAATTCCACCCAAAGATCTCGGTGGTGAGGACATGGCGTAACTTTTGGGGTGGGGGGACACTGTCCGACTACCACAGGCCCTTCCAGCCAGCCAGCCTTCGGGCCTGGAGCCTCATCCTGGAGTGCTGTGTTTCAGGGCCTGGAATCTCCTCCTATGCCTCCAATCCTGCACAGGCTGGCGAGAGCCTGCGGGGCTGCCTGGAGGAGGCGCTGGCGCTGATCCCAGAGGCACAGCATCAGGAAACGCCCCTGTTCCTGGGGGCCACGGCTGGCATGAGGCTTCTCAGGTGAGGTGGGCTGGCTCGGGGCCTGTGGCACATCCGTGGGGGATGAGCTGTGGCGTCAACGCCTTGGGCGAGCGGGCGGAGTGCAGTGGGTGTGGTCTCCTGCCAGCTTGGGCTGCTGGTCTTCTCTGTCCAGCCAGAAGAACAGCTCTCAGGCAAGAGACATCTTTGAGGCGGTCACCCAGGTCCTGGGCAAGTCTCCCCTGGACTTCTGGGGTGCTGAGCTCCTGGCCGGGCAGGACGAAGGCGCTTTAGGCTGGATCACCATTAACTACGTCCTGGGCGCGCTGATCCAGGTGCCGTGGGCAGCCCGCGGGTGGGGGTCGGACGACCAGGGGCTGTGGGTCAATGTGGCTGGTCCCAGGACTCAGTGCCCCCCATCTGTGCTCAGTACTCCTTCTCTGGAGAATGGATCCAGCCTCCGGAGGGGACACTGGTGGGGGCCCTGGACATGGGTGGAGCCTCCACCCAGATCACCTTTGTGCCTGGAGGCCCCATACTGGACAAGAGCACGCAGGCCACCTTCCGCCTCTACGGACTTGAGCACAGCGCCTACACCCACAGCTACCTGTGTTTCGGGCGCGACCAGATGCTGAACAGGCTCCTGGCGCAGCTGGTGCAGGTCGTCTGGACCGCGGGGGAGGCGGCGGCGAGGTGGGGCGGCCTGTGGCCCTGGGCTGGGCTCAAGGCCACCTCCCTGCCCTCGTGCAGAGCAGCTCCGGCCTCCTGGTCCGCCACCCATGCTACCACAGCGGCTACCGGGCCTCGCTGTCCCCGGCCGCGCTCTACGAGTCGCCCTGTGTGCACGCAGCAGCCCCCCCAGACCTGGCCAGGAACCTCACCGTGGAAGGGACAGGGAACCCCAGGGCCTGCGTCTCAGCCATCCGAGGCCTCTTCAACTTCTCCAGCTGCCAGGGCCGAAGTCACTGTGCCTTCGACGGGGTCTACCAGCCGCCCGTGCGGGGCCCGTTCTACGTGAGCTCGCTACCCTGTCCCCCCCGGGCCCCTTCCTCAGCCCCAGGGCGCTGACCCCCTGGGCTCCGGAGGGGCTCTGTGCGGCTGGGCTCCAGGGGACTCTAGGCCCCGTGTGGGGGCGGGTGTGGACTCTACCTGGTTGGTCCAGGGCTCCTCTGACCCGGGCCCCCCGGGCATCGGCTCCAGTGCCCAGTGTGGACTCGCACATCTCACCACCGCCTCTGCCCCCAGGCCTTCTCCAACTTCTACTACACCTTCCACTTCCTGAACCTCACCTCCAAGCAGCCACTGGCCGCTGTCAACGCCACCATCTGGGAGTTCTGCCAGAGGCCCTGGAAGCAGGTGCGCGGGTCCCAGGGCCGCCCTGGTTCTCTGAGCCGCAGCCGTCACAGGCAGACTCCAGCGGGCAGGGACTCGGTGGGACCCCATCCCGGGCGGTGTGGCCTGAGGGGAGCCGGGAGCGGGCGCATCACCCAGCCCCTCACGCCCCGGGCTCCCAGGTGGAGGCCAGCTCGCCCGGGCAGGGCCGCTGGCTCCGTGACTACTGCACCTCGGGGCTGTATATACTCACGCTGCTGCTTGAGGGCTACGGGTTCAGCGAGGAGACGTGGCCTGGCATCGAGTTCCGCAAGCAGGTGACCACCGGGCCCAGGGCGAGGGGCGCTCAGGGGCTCCGGGGCCAGCAGCCCACAGAGCTGACCAGCCCGTGTGTCCCGCAGGCTGGCGGCACGGATATCGGCTGGACGCTGGGCTACATGCTGAACCTGACCAGCATGATCCCAGCCGAGGTTCCTGCCCAGTGGCGGGCACAGAGCCACGGCGTCTGGGCGGCCGGGGTCACCTTTGCCACGCTGACTCTTGTGCTTACTCTGGGGGCTGTGGCAAGCCAGCTCCTCTGGCCCCGGGGCTAAGCTGGGCGGCCGCCCTGTGGCAGAAGGCACAGGCTCAGCTCCCATGGTCTGAGCTGGTCAGAGCCTCCCTGAGCTCCTGACCCCCGCAGGGCCCCCTTCCCCTGTGGGCTCTGGCCCCACAGTCAGATGGCCCCCACTGATGCAGGCCATGTTGGGGCCTCCCCAGGGCGGCAGGTGACAAATGCCAGGCCACAGGGGCCCCTGCAGCATCCCAAGGCGGTGTGACCTTCAGTGTTAGTGGGACGTGGGGCCTGGTCAAGCCGGACGTGGGAGTGACCACTGCCGAAGAAGGGGCCCAGCTCCCTGGGAGAGGCCGGCGGAGCCTCAGGAGGAGGTTGAGGGGGTGCCCAGCCGGAACCAGGGCGTCACTCAGCCTGAGGGGCGGCATCCAGGCTCCACGTCTTCTCTGGGAGCAGCCCCCCGCCCCCCCAAGCCTGTGAGGCCCTCGCAGTGGACAAACCCACGATACAGACCACAGCTTAGTGGGAGAAGCTGCTTTATTAAAACCCTTGCCACGGAACTTCCTAGGGCTGACTTTCTCACTGGGCTGGGGGTGCATGGGGCTCCGGGTGGGGGTGCTGAGCTCCTCACACGTACTGTCCAGCTGGGTCCACGAAGCACTTGGGGAAAATGCCGATGCGGCCATCACAGTGGCCCTCCAGCCACGCCGGGTCCACTGCATGCGAGGGGACGTCAGGACTCCTCAGGGCACATCAGGTATCCGCTCACGGAAACCCCCTGAGCCCCGGCGCCCCACTGACCTTCACACAGGACGTCCACGATGTTCCCCGGCTGCAAGTCCAGGTCCTCGGGCCCCTGGGCAGAGTAGCTGTGCCGGGCCACCACCTGGTAGAGGATCGGCCGGCCGCCGGCGCCCTGTGGCAGGCGGAGGCTGCAGGGCAGGCCGGCTGCATGCAGAAGGGCCCCAGGGCCTCCCCTGCCCCGCGCGCACGGGGCCCCGGCCCAGGCTCTCCTGAGGCTCACCCGGCACTGGAGCCGCAGGACCTGGGCGCTGGCCGCCGTGTCCCGCCAGGCCCTCTGTAGCACCTCCTCCCTGGCGAGGGGGACCCAGCGTCCCTCGTTGCTGAGGTCTTGGTAACTGCAGACAGACTCCTCCAAGTGGGCAGGGGTTGCTTCTGCCTGGGCACAGGGCCACCAGCCCCCCGTCCAGGCCCGGCCCTGGGGCTTCTGTCCCAGAGCCCTCGGGTCCTACCTCCCAGCAGCTCACCTGAGCTGCCCCTGCTGGGCCTGGTGGGGGAGGGCTTGGCTCAGCAGGGTCCGCAGGCTGGACAGGTCAGCTCCTCTTGGGGCCTTCAGGGCCAGCGTGAAGGCACACTGCACTATGACAGTCCCCAGGGACTCAGGGGCCCCCACGGCCACTCCCTGGGATGAGGCAGAAAGACAGCTGGTCGGCCAACGAAGCCCCAGATCTGCATGCTTCAGGCCCAGTGGGGGTGGCCTTCGAGCTGGGGGTGACGGTGGGGAAAGGATGGTGGCAGGGGCCTGGGGCTCCAGGCCTGTAAGCTCCTCAGCAGCTGGGGTCCCCAGGGCCATTGGAAGGGATGGGGCCTGGCCTCGGGGCCCCAAATCCCTGAAGAGTGGGGCGACATGAAGGCTCTTACCCCGGCACGAGAGGGGTCTTCAGAAGGGCCGGGGTCTGGCCCCCCAGCCACCAGCAGGCCTGTGGAGGTTGACAGAGCAGGTTCTCAGTGGAACAGTTTGGAGCTGAGGACCTGCTGGGACCACACGCCCATTGGGAAGCACAAGGTAGCCAATCTCCTTAGGGGACAAAGAGGCTGCTCCCAGCACCCCCAGATGCCTGCCCCCCCCCCCCCCCCCCCCCCCCCCCCCCCCCCCCCCGCCCACCGACCTGCAGCCCAGGCAGCCCTTACCTGGAGGAACCTGTTTGCCAACTTGCTCCACTCGGGGCCTCTGCAGGGAAAGCCACAGGCTTGGAGCAGGGGCCCGGATGGGGGGGCCCTGGGGCGGGGCCTATGGCCTGTGAGCCCGCTGACCAGCAGCAAGCCAAAGGTGCAGCTCACGCGGGGGTGTGCTGAGGGCACGCGCCAGGTCCTCGCGGTCCGAGGGACCGTAGACAGGCTGCCTTACGCCGGTGGGGATGAAGCTGCCATCCTGGGTGGCCCCAGGTGGGGCCTGAGGACAAGGCCAGGGACCAGCGAGACTTCAGTTCTCCCTATGCTGGACGTGCCGGAGGGGCAGCAGAGCGCCCAGCAAGGCCCGGGCCCAGGCCGCCCTGACCGATTCTGACTTCAGGTGAGGGTCTGGAAGTCTGTTCGTACGGGAAGCGTTTGGACTTCAGCGTGTTTACCAGCTGGTTAGCGCCCCGCAGAAGCTGTTCACTATTGTGTCAGGGGGTCGAGGGCCTAAAACCCCAACGTATGAACTTAGTAAGTACAGATTTAACGGCCTGCGGGAAGGCGACGAAGCACAGCTGTGGCAGAGAACCGCGCTCCTAACTAAGGGCGCAGGGCAGCTCAGCTTGAATCGGCTGAACGCCAGTGAAAGGAAAGTGAAGTGACCATCTGTTCCCTTACGAAGTCCTTCCATAAACTGAAAGTTCAATTCAACCGCTTTCTCTGCGCCCCTTCTCTGCGCCCCTCCTGGCGCCTCCTGGCTGCACCTTCCTGGGAGAAGCCTGTATCCAGGAAGGAGGGCTGGGGTGACAAGGGCCACGGCTAAGCTGTGGATGCGCAGGCTGCAGGCCAGGCCCCCAAGGCCTAGGGCCGTGAGGACGGCCAGACTCCTGTCTGCACCATGGAGCATCAGCATGGGCCCCCCCGGACCCTGGTGTGTGGCCACCGTGGCTGGCTCCGGCCACGCCCCTGGCCTGAGCCCCGCAGAGTGCCTGGCTGTGGCCGCTGCTCCCGTGCTCGGGCTCCCTCACCTGCTCATCAGAGACGACGGGCACACGGAGGTCAGCCGGCCCCGCCTGCCCGGGGCCGACCTCTGTCTCCGCACCGGGGGGCCTCCTGGGACCACAGGCGGTGCCAGTGTCCGCAGCCCTGGGGGGGAAGGGGGGGAGGGGGAGCCCTTGATGTCAGGACCTCCCCCAACTGAGGGCTCGCTTCCTCGCAGACGGCCTGAGTGGGCCCAGGGTGTGGAGACGAGGGGCGGTGCCGAGAACGGCCCTGGGTGAGGGGCTTGCTCTAAGTGCCTGCACCCTGTGCAACCCTGAGCACCAGCCCCTCTCCCGAGTTGGGACAGCCCCACCTGGGAGGCTCCCGTCTGGCAATGCCGGGGGTGTAGTTGTGCCAGCCCACAGGCCCGCCAGCGCCCTCCCTGGGCACCTTGGCTCTGAGCTTCTGTGCTGCTTGGAGTCATCATGACCCAAAGTCTCAACTCCCCTCTAGTGCCCACCAGGGCCAGAGGGACGGCCCTATGAGAGGGGGGCATGGGGAGGGCTCAGAGGCTAGACACCCCTCCCGACATCTGGGGCTCTAGCCACTTCCACTATGTAAAGGGGGTGTGAAAGTCCTGGCCCCTGGACAGCTGTGCACAGGGGCTCCGGCCTCTGCCCTGAAGGAGGGACACACACACACAGGTGAGACCCACCCCTTCCTACCGTGGGGCGGCGCCAGGCCCGGCTCTGGCATCTGCATCCTGAACCTGTGGGCACAGAATGCCATCCTCCCTCAGGAAGCAGACCCGTGGGTGAGTCCAGGGCGGGGAGGCCTGGCATTGATCCCCCCCGCCCCCTGGCAAGACTGTGTGATTTCTACGGACTCGCACAGAACAGGCGCGCTGCTCCCGATTCCAGAGCAGAGCTGGGAGGGCTCAGAGCATTTTCCTCCCTTAACAGTAAAAAGGCCTGAAGTGCTCACGCCTGCAACCTGACAGAGAAATCGGGGCTGGCGACCACGCACCTGGGGCTGCTGAGGCTGGACGCCCTCCTGTCGGTCGGCGGGGAAGGCAGAGGACACCACCTGGCACGGGTCAGCAGGGGACAGCCGGGTCAGCAGGCACCAGCCCCAACCCCCGGGGGGGGGGGGCTGTGATGTCAGCTCCCAGCCCTCGCCACCCACCCCGCACCCCTGATTCTCTCATCGGCCTGACCCGAGGCTGCCAGACCACCACCGTGGGGGCTGGGAAGGCAGGTAAAATACGCCTGATACAGGAAAACATCTGTGCTGATAGTTTTAACCTATTTTTAGTACAACTTTTGAAGTATATTTGTTTCTTAGAAATCTTCTACTGTGATAAGTGGACTCTAAACTGACGGATCCACGCAGCCCCTGCCAGCAGATGTTTGCACAGGTGAGGTGTCTGTGGCATGTAACCTCGCCAGCACTGTTAACATGGTCACGTGCGGCTCGCTGGCCCGTGGTGACCTGAGGGTACTAGGGTCCACCCAAGGGCCACCAGCTTGAAGTCAATGTGAATTTTCCTTTGTGCACATGGGGGTTAGTTCCCTGCTCCGCAGTGTTCTGTGATTCTGGTGGTGCTGCCTGGCCCTGACCAAGGGGAGGGCACGACGTGGCCCAGGCCAGCCTGCTTCGGCCCCCCCCCCCCCCGAGATCTCACTCTCCGGGACAGAGATGCAGGAAGACCCAGAGGCCCCAAAACAAGGAGATTCCGAGGCCAGAAAAGCATGGCTGAGGTGGAGGCAGGCAGGGGAGCCTTGGGGATCCCCATCAAAAAGGCATGAGCTCCCTCCTCTGCAGCCAACTTCTGGTAGCTTCTGTCTTCTGGTTCCAAGAGCCCGGGATATGTAAACTGCACCTGGAGATGCTGCCCTGGCCTCCCGTCGGTCTGCAGCCTGCAGGCTGGTGCTGTCCCCTGAGCCCCAGGCCGGGACATGGACGCTGCCCACTGACCTTGGCCTTGCCCAGGAAGTCCACTGGCTTCAGGAGCTCCAGGTGCCGCCTGTGGGGCCGGAAGACCTCTCCCCTGGGGACCTGCCGAGGCTGCAGGTGTACCTGTTTCTGGAGGGGTCCAGCCAATGCAGACCTGAGCATCTGAGCAGGGGGGTGGCCTCAGGGGGCCACCCCACCCGCTTGTCACAGGCCATGGGAAGTCCTTCCCAGCCCCCCACCTGAGCACATGGGCCAGCTCCTCTAGAAAGTCTTGGGGGGCAGGGGGGGCTGTACAGATATGAGCCCTGGACGGTGGGCTAGGGGCCCAGCAGCCCCAAGGGGTGGGGACAGCCTGCTCTCCTCACCTGACCCCCTCACCTGCACTTGGTCCAGGGCAGTGCGCAGGTCCGTGTGGGCCCCTTCTGGCCCCTTGGAGAGGGCTTCCTCTAGGCTGCGGGTGGCCTCAGCCCAGAGTCCCAGGCGGCACTGGGCCGCCCCCAAGTTGAAGAGCACCTGGGAGCGAGATGGGCGAGGACAGCCTCCTTCCTCACTTAGTCCCACTCCTAGATCCGCCTCAGAGTCTCAGGCTCTCCCTCTCCCCCCACCCCTCCCTTGCCTTTGACCCCGGTCCCACCCCGACCTTTCTCCTGGCCTCGCCCTCAGTGCCACTATTCAGCTCCAGCTCCGGTCTCATCCCTGGTCCCATTCCAGGTCTCACTCCTAGATCAGACCTTCGGCCTGACCTCCCCTCCCCTCCCCTCCCTTCTCCTCGCCCCCCCCACTCCCTTTCTGGCCTGGGCTCCCCCCCCACCCCACCCCTTCTCCTGGCCTCACCCTCAGCCCCTCCCCCTTGCCCCACTCCAGCCCCTCAGCCACTCTCCCCACCTCACTCCAGGGCTCTCCCATAGCCCCCCACCCCCACCCCGCACGCCAGCCACAACAGCCAAGGGCTCTTCAGCAGCCCCAGAAGAGGGCGTGACGCTGGTGTGGGGCTCGCTGGGCTGGCCTCGCCTCACCCTCCAGACCCACTCACCTGGAGCAGTTCAGGGCTCTGGCACTTCTCTGCTTGGAAAATCCGGGGCAGATTTCCGAGCTTGGGAAGCCTCCTCTCTGCCTACCCCACCCCCATTCTGCGTCTGGCCAGACCTCTTTTGCGGCCCCTTCATCTGGGTGCTGCCCTGCCAGTGCGTGGGTCTGGGGTGCTGTCCAAGGAACCCATTTCTCTGTCCTGTCCCCGTCCCGACCCCCGTGTGAAAAGACGTTTTGCCAGACAGGTTTGGGTTGGGTTAAGGCTGTCGCCAGCCGGACACACTGAGGGCAGAAGCAAAGTTGCCTGGCGGGCCTGGGAGCTGACCCCCCCCCACTGGCCCCCTGCTGCTGCGGAGATAGCAGGTGCTCCCCCAGCTCGTCCCGAAGACGCACACTCTTGCTGCGTGGCCCTCTGTCCCCACGGCCTGCTTGGTGACACCATACCCCCAGGGCCAGCTGGCCACCCTCTGGAGACTCTGTTACAGGCCTGGTGGGGGTCACTGCCGGGCCAATGCCCCACCCGCCCTGCACTGTGCGATGCCCCGGGCCAGGGGACGGGCAGGGGCTGTGGACCCCACCTGGCGGGGCTTTCCCACGATTTGTTGATTGCGACACAGCTTGTTGGGGGAAGGACCCAAGGCAGCGCGTTTCCTGGTTTCCAGGAGTGCTGGGGCTCCTCTCCATCCCCCTCCCTTGGCGTCAGCCACCAGAGAGCCAAGCTGCGCTGTCTCCTGACCCCAGCTGCCTTTCCCCTGTCTGCCCTCTGCCCCTCCCCTGCCCTCCTCCTGGACAAAGCACTCCTGGGGGCTCCCACCTCCTCCACCCCCGCCACAGCGGCCAGAGGGAGCCTGTCAGGCCATACCTGTGACAGTAACAAGACGCTGGAACCCAGAGAGCGGAGCCTGAGGGACCCTCCCCCCACCCACCCCGGGGCCAGAGCCACACCTCCTGTGCGAGCTCACCTCCCAGGCCTGTAGCTTGAACCGCAGGCCCAGCTGTGTATAGTCAATGGCAGCGTCATCCCTGAGCTGTGCCAGGGCCAGCCGGAAGTCACACAGGGCCTCCTGGAACCTGCGAGCAGTGAGGGGCACCTCAGTGGCCGCAGGGAAAGGGGCCAAGCCCTGCCCCCCCCAGCTCTGGGGGCACCTGCTGGGGGGCAGCGGTGGTCACCCAGGCCTCAGCACGTGGGGGGCCCTCAAGTCCTGACACACAGGCCAAGGGCAGACGTGGTTGTGAGGAGCGTGGGGGCACCACGTCCGGGGTGAGAGGTGATGCCAGCTCTGATCCAGCCCTGATTCCTGGGAACCTCGCTCTGCTGCCTGGGGCCCCTGTCTGTACCCCGGACCCTCTTCCAACCCCGGCTATGCGGGGGACCCTGAGCATTTCCTTCCTGCCTCACAGGACCCCCAGCCCCTGCGGGTCTCCCGCTGCAGAGACCGCCGGAAGCTCCGTGGCCTCCACTACCATCCCCACCTCCTCCAGGCAGGCTCCCGGGCCCTGAGAGGAGGCTGTGGCCAGAGCCTGCCTGCCTGGCATGGGGCCTGGCGTGGGGCTCGTCCTGGGGGCGGGCGCAGCAGGGGACGCAGCGCCTGTCCCGCAGAAAGTTCCCTCCTCTGGGAAGGACCACTGGGCAAAGGGCCCGGGTGAGCACTGAGAACCCCACCCCTGCCTGGGTCCTGGGGTACGCCATCCCCGCAGCCCTGCTCCAAGCTTCCTAATTTGCAGAATGGGTGTAATCACGCCATCCCTGCTACAGCAGGTGAGGAACAAAGGAGGGAACGCCCGTGAAAGCGCCCTGGGAACGTCAGCTTAGAGACAAGGCTCGCTGTGTGCCTTCCCTGTGTCCCCCTCCAGCGCGGCCACAGTGTCCTGTTGCAGGCCTCCCTGAAGCTGTGGACGGGGTGGGCAAGAGAAGGTGATCCAGGGGGACAGAGGAGGCAGGGAGCACAAGAATGGACTTTGCAGAGACCAAGGGCCATCAGAGAAGAAACAAGGCACCTCTGTGCTCACCTTTCCAGCTGGAAGCTGGCCACTCCTCGCTGGAAGAAACCAACAGCCATGCAGGTGTCCTTGGTCACTGCCTGGTCAAATGCCTGGGGACAAAAATGCCCATGGATCGCCACAATCTTCCATTCCATCACCCCTGTGTCACAGACACAGTCCAGACAGATGACCAGTGACGGGGACCGAGGAATTCCCCTGGGCCCCACAACAGCCTGGCGCATGGCGTCACCATTCCGGTTCCCGCAGCCTAAGCTGGAAACAGAAGGAAGGACACAACAGAAGGAAACCGTGGCACATTCATCATAGTTATCTCTGGGGGATGCAGTTAGGCAAGATTTTTGTCTCTTTGAAATCCTATTTCTCATAGTTCACACAAAAGGACACACTCCTTATCTGTTAGAATCAGGAAGAACAACACAAAAGTCTTAGTATGAGTGTAAAGCACAGCTCTTCCTTAAACCTCACTCAGGAACGGTGCTGTCTGTTCCTAATGAGGACGGTGGCCCTCAGTTAAACACAGGCCACAGGAGGGGCATCACGCTCGATCTGGCCAAACGGGGGGGGTCCCTGCAGCATTGGGTTTGACCTAAGGTTGAAGGGATCCATGGAGGCACTGACGTGGGGGCCACTCGGTGCCGGAGTCCATTTGTTGGCCACCCTGCCACGAACAGCAACCAAACTAGGCTCACGTAGGCTCCTACCCACAGACCACAGTCTGCTCTATGTTCCCCCTCACCCTGCCCTGCTCCCGAGACAGTTTTATTAATTGCAGCCATTCCATCTGCTTTCAAAACAATCCCCATGCTTCCAAGTAGTGCGCCCGTGCTTTCATCGCTTGATTTTATTGACTTTGCACAGTCCTCCCTCCCCTATTGGGCGAGAGGATTTAATTCGTATTCTTCTCTCGCCACTCTGGCCCCTCTCTCTGGTTAAGTCACGGTTTATGAATAAGCGAGAACTGGGCTGACCTCATGTCTACCATTCGCTGTTGAACCACCTGCTGTCAGTGATCGTATTCCCTTTCGTAGGTAACATTTTAAAACTGCAGCTGCTCCTGGGAATCGTAGACTGGTTCGCAGAGGCAAGACACGACAGAGGGGACCCCGGCAGGCTTTGCCCAGTCCTCCCGCTCCCCAACCCTGGCAGTGAAGTTTTTGCAAATATTGACTTGGACGCTCTCCTATAACACCTAGTCCTCTTCATTTCTGTCATCTTCCAGGTAGCTGTCACCGGTGGTCTCAACAACCGTAGGATCCTGGTTCTTTCCGTTGGAGGGGCTCGGGCTCCAGAGCACCGAGTAGAGTGCTGCGGAATTTTTGCGGAACATGCATCACTTTATTTATTTATTTATTTATATTTTTAAATTTCTTTTATTTCTGAGAGAGAGAGAGAGAGAGAGAGAGAGAGACAGCGTGAGTAGGGGAGGGTCAGAGAGAGAGGGAGACACAGAATCCGAAACAGGCTTCAGGCTCTGAGCTGTCAGCACAGAGCCTGACGCGGGGCTTGAACCCACGAACCGTGAGATCATGACCTGAGCCGAGGTCAGACGCTCAACCGACTGAGCCACCCAGGCGCCCCCACTTTAAAGAACCAAAGCATTTAAAAGGCAGAGAGTGGCTCGCGCTGCCCCTTCTGCAGAGGCAGGTATGTGTGTGTGCCCGTGTGCACTTTGAGCTCTTGGTTCTGTTTTGGGGAACAGATTGGGAAACAGAGGAGAACTCAGATCAGACGGGACACACCTCTTCTCCTTGGCACTGCCACAGGCATCGGAAGAAGGCACCGCTCTAAGCTCCACAGCTCGGGAGGCAGGCAGGCCCCCTCCAAGCAGGACCCAGCCTCCAGCCTGCTTCCAGGTATGTTAGCACGGTGAGCCCCTGACCAGCAGCACCCCAGCCTTTCCCTGTGATTGGGGAGTGTGGCACGTGGTCATCTCCTAGTGGAGGGGTGAAGGAGCACCTCACCTCCATCATGGCCCGTTCAAGGTGGGATCCTCCGACCACACAGTTCCCACCTGCTTCAGGCATTCACTGAGGCACCAGGGGGACACCCCAGATGACCACCAGGATGAAGCGGGGGGATCCCGGGCTCACCTCTGCAGCTGGGTCTTTATCGCACCGCTCCTTGACCAGCGAACCGTAAGGTTCTCCAGGGCCTGAGAACAGCCACCCCAAGAATGAGGTCCCTGCGACCAGCCCTGGGTGCGCCCAGCTTTCATGCCCCGGCTCACCCGCAGCGCGGCCTCCGGGTCCCCGGCCAGCAGGTGCACGCAGCCCACGTTGAAGCACATCCTGGCGGGCGGCTCCGGGTCGCTCGAGAAGAGGCGCAGGGCGCAGTCCCAGTCCTCGCGCGCCACGGCCTGCGCGCCCCGGTGCCAGTCCAGCAGCAGGTCCCCGAGGGAGGGCATGGCGGCGTGGGCGCCCGCGCGACCGTGCCACAGAAGTCCGCGCTTCCGGGACGGGGCGCGGCCGGCGGCGGCGGTGGGGGTCCCGCGAGGGGTCCGGCGGGACGACTGCGGGCCGAGGGCCGCGGAGCCGGGGATGTGGGGCCCCCACTCCGAGGCCGGCAGGGGGTCCGCGCGGAACGCGGCGCCGGGAGCTCGCGGAGCCCACGAGCCGCACGCGCGCCCTCTCACGGCAGAGCGGCCCCGCCCGTGGCCAGGCGCGCCCCGCCCACGGTTCCGCCCCCAAACAGGGACCGCCCCCCCGCATCCGGCCCCGCCCCCTCGCGCTTCTGCCGCGCCCCTCCGGACTTCCGCCCGGAGTTCCCCAAGTTCGCGTTACCAGGCTCGTCGCTCCCCGCACGGTGCGGGTCTCGGTGCTCCGGGGAAAGCCGTCCGGGCCTGCCGCTACCGCCGCGGCCGGGCCAGGGTTCCGCCGGACCCCGCGGGCTCAGGTGAGCGGCCGCCGGGGCGCGGGCCGGGGTGGGGCGGGCCCGGGGTCTGCAGGGGCGCCAGGAGGCAGGGCCGGGCCGGGCCGAGCGGGGCTGTGGCCGAGCCGGCGGCCGGGCCGGCCTTGAGGGGGTCCCCTTCCGCTGTCGCCCCTGCCCCGCCGGCCTGCGGGCCGCGGCTGCGAAGAGCGAAGCCGTTGTCGCTGCGGCTTCGCGGGGAGGGGAGAGCCGTTCCCGGGGCGGCGGTCTGGGGTAACCCACGGCTTCGGCCCGCGCTCACCCTCGGGGGGACACTGAGGCCCAGAGTGGAGGAGGCCCGAGTCTCACTCGTAGGGAAGCAGGGCGCGGTGATGTGCCAGCACCTCTCCTGGGGGCCGTCGGCCCCGCGCTCCGTGTCCCGGCCCCGGCTGCCCTCCCCGGATGGAGCTCCGAGCGGGACTAGCCAGCGCGTCACACCCCGCGTGGAGCCCTGCTCCGTGCCCTGCGCGGCCTCGTTCGCTAGGAAGCGGAGGCCGCCAGGGCCGGGAGCCTCGCCGCGCCCGCGGCCCCGCTGCCGCTCGCTGCAGGCCTTCTGCCTCCGCCCTTGCACCTGTGTTAGAGAAGCAGCCAGAGCGCGGACGACAGGTGTCCAGGGAGAGGTGGGTGGGCTTGAAGCCGCTGTGGGGGCTGTAGAATTCGGAATCTGCGGAGAGCCGGGCAAGAGCTCAGCCGCAGCTGGCGTCTGGAGGCAGATTTCCCTCCTCCGGGGACCTCAGTCTTTGTTCCCTTCCCCTTGGCCGGACTGGAGGACTCCCACCCGCTGGGGAGGGCCATCTGCTTCAGGGCGCGTCTGCTGTTGTAACTGTTAGTTTCGTGTAACAAATGCTTTCACAGCAACCTGTGACTGTGTTTGGCCAAACATGTGGACACCATGGCTTTGCCAGGTTGACCCAAAATGAGCCGTCACAGCGCACACCCCCAGAGGTGCTCCTGTAGACCCGCCCTGTCCTTTTCATTCACATGAGAGCACACCTTGGCCCCTCGGTACAGAGGAGGCTCGGGTGCTGGATGCCTGTCAGAACTGGGAGGGCAGCTGTAACTCAGGGACCCGACTCCTCCCACGTTGGTCATCCTCCCTCCCTGGGTGACCCTGGTCCGGCTCTGACCCTACAGACGTCCTTACCTGAGGAAGGGGAGGGCTGGGGCCTGGCCTGTCAGGGCTGTGGTGAGGACTGCCTGGGAGGCCACCTGCGTCCCTGAGGACCTGCTCTCTCCCCAGTGGGGGCCGAGCCTCCCCGCCCTGCTGGCCTGGAGGGAGGCGGCCGCACCGTGTCCCTTTCCCATCGCGCTGCTCCCACACTGGCTCTGGGTGGCCTTCCTGCCATCGCTGTACCCGGAGACCTGTCAGGGCCACTAGTAACCTCCTTCCTGGGTGTGGCTCGTCCTCCCCACTCAGTGCCTGGCGTCAGGGACCTGACTCCCTCCAGGCCCCCCCGGCTGCTCCTCCCGCCTCCCCTGGGCTCTGTCCTGGCCTTTCTGTGTACTCGCTCCCCAGTGGCCCCGCTGTTTGAATTTCCGTGAGGGCTCCTGCTGCATCCACTCTTTTATCACCTTCTCTGTTTCCATTGTAAAAAGATGAAAAAGGTCCCATCCCTGTGCCTGTCACTGAACACTAATGTTCATTGCAGCTCTGTTCATAGAGCCCCAAACTGGAAACAGCCCAGCGGTCCTCCAGTGGGCGAATGGCCAGGCAGACTCACGCCCACACGTGGACGAGGGATGGGCGGTGGGCACCCAGAGCTGGGGGCGCCTTGGGAGCATGCTGAGCGGGAAAAGATCGCATACTTTGATTCCATTTGTATATCTTTCTAGAAATGACAAATTAAACGGAGAGATGAGTGGTTGCTGGGGCCCCTGACAGACTAATGGCGTGTGGGTGGCGATAAAAGGGCAATGCGGGGGGGGGGGGGGGCGTCCTAGGGGATGGAACGTTCTGTATCTTCACTGAATCGCTGTCAGTCCCTCATCGTGATTCTGACTGGTAATGTCCTGAGAGCAGGATTAGGGGTATGAGATGTCTCTTTATTTTCTCTCAAAAGTGCATGTATATCTCCAAGTATCTCAAAATAATGTTTAATTTGAAACCATTTTTAAGGAAGGTTTCAGTTACAGGTATTTCTGTTTTACAGATGCCCTGAAAGTTGGAGTGATCACTGAGCCTAAGATTCTTTCAGCCCTGAGACTCAGCTGCTTACGTGTTGTTTAGAAAACTCCTTACATCTGAGCTAAAATCTGTTCCCAAGTAGGTGCTTCAGCACCTGGAGCAGCCATGGCCCAAGGTCCGATCTGCAGCTGCCCTTTGCAGGGGTCCCAAGCACCCTCGCGGTGGCTGTGACCTCAGAGCAGCGGCCATCCAGGCTCCCGCCGCCACCAGCCACCCCCTGTCAGCTCTTCGGGCGGACCCGCTACGGTCGTGTGGATCACACGGTTCCTGCGTCACTTGAAGAGTCCAGAAAAGGGAACCATTTCCTAAGGTAAGCGTGTGACTCAGATAGAGGTCAGCATAGCGCTGGAACTTATTTTCAGAGGAATGCAGTACTTGTCTGTGGTTAATTCTGGAGCACAGATGTCAAAGAAATGGGCAGGAATTGGTTTTAGCCCAGTACAAAGAAGTTGGGTTGGTGGGGGTTTTTTTCCTTTAAAAAACAGGCACTTTCCAAGAATAAATGAAATAAAAATAAGATTATTCTCTCAGGAAGTAAAAATAGTCTTGGTGTGATTGAAATGCTTGCTGTTGGAGATCAGTGTCCTGAGGCCTGGCCCTTCCTGGGCCTGCGTCTGTCATTCAGGGTCATGGGGTGCCTTCCCTGGGGTTCAGTGCGGAGGCGCCCACCCCAGGGCACGCACAGCCTCAGACCCACTGCTTCAGCCGAGGACCTCAGCCTCCCCTGCCCAGGATATGCTGAGGAGGAAAACCAGAGGAGCAAGGAAGGCAGAGCTCAGGCAGGTGCAGGGTGCTCTCCTCGGGGGCAAGACCCCCCATGCTACGGAGAGGCCCTCCCACCAGGAAGCGGCTCAAGATGCATCTCCTTTCAGGTTCAGAGTCAAGGCTGTGGAACAGGGAGCATTCTAGCACGCTCCTGCAGGACCCCGTGGTGGGCAGGGCTCATCCTCCAGGCGATGGGGGTCCTGGGCCGCAGCATCTGGTGCGCCCTCGCTCGCCCCTCCTCTCTCAGTCCGAAGCCAGTGCCAGGCACTCGTCTCGTGGTTTCAAACGCAGAATGAGCTGCCACCGGTCTCTGAGCTAATTTCTGCATACAGCCCTTCAAAGTGGGTGTCTGGGTCAGACCAGACAGGAGAGCGCCTCACAGCTGTGGGGGCCCCTGCACCACAGCCACCTCGAGGCCTGGGCTGCCGTCTGCTGGGGTGGTGAGAGAGGGGCAAGGCTAGAGCCCTGGGCTGACTGGCACGGTCACGTTATACCCCGTGACTGATAAAACAGCCTGTGCGAAAGCAAAGAGTTTATGGTGCAGGAAGTCGGTGAATGAGCTAACGGATGACACCTTAAAACACGCAGGGCTGAGTCTGAATCCCAGGGATGCAGGGCGGGTCTGAGGAGGTCCCAGAGGGCAGCGACAGAGGAGGGGGCCAGGCTAGCACAGCAGCTCTGGAGGTCAGAAGGAGCCAGAACATCTGTGGGCTGTTAGGAGGAAAAGGCAAATCCAAGTGGCCTGTATTTAGCCAAAAAGGAAGGAAATCATGCCCCCCCCCCAAAAAAAAGGGAAGAAACCAAAAGGAAGAAGAGGGAGTTAATTAAGAGAAAAGCTTAATTTCGTAAATCAGAAAGTATAAAATTGGTAAGACCAGGCGCCCCGCTGGCTCAGTCAGTGGAGCGTGTGACTCTGTATCTCTGGGTTATGGGTTTGAGCCGCGTGTTGGGTGTAGAGATGACTTAAAATTAAATAACCTAAAAAAATTAGAGTCAGTGTCTCAAGTAAAAAAATAAAATCAGTAAGACCAAAAGTTAGTTCTTCAAAAAACAATGAAATAAACTCCTGACAAGATGGAGGAAAATCTGAAGTGAAACGACGCTCAGGCTTCATGAGAGGAGAGACCCGCAGACGTGCCACGTCCACACTGACCCCACATTATTAACGGGAAGACCTCAAGAAATCGACACCTTATCCGAATTGGCCTGAGAAGAAACAGGAAATTGGAGCAGGCGGTGTTCATCAGAGACCCAGCAGGCTGTGGGGTCCCCGCCACACGGGCACCTGGCTGGCAGCTTCCGCCACGCGCGGTGTGTGCTCCCAGCCCACATGAGCACTCCGCCCTGGACGCGGCCCCCGGCCCCGGCTGGGCCTGGAGACGACGCAGCCCCTGCCTTGTTCTAGCCGCGACTGCCAGAGGCTCTACACGACCGCTGGGCCAGGCGGTTTCAAGTTCCTGACCCCCGACCTCATAGGACAGGACGTGTTTCCCTTCTAAGGCACTGAGTTTGGGCCCGTCTGTTTGGCAGCAGCCGACACCCGGTGATGGGGCCTTAAAGCCATCAGGCAGAGCGGGCGCCGTGGGGAGCGCACCTGGTGTCCAGGCGAAGTGGCCGCCTCCCTTGCGGCCTGTCAGGGGGGCTCATGGAGTAGCGAACGGCGGCCCCATCTCCTTCCTGCAGCTAAGATTCCTTCATAGTTTATTTTAACTTCTAAACTATCATTTATGGTGTGTGTGTGTTTGTGTGTGTGTGTGTGAATACAAAGTAGAGTGTGTTCACTGTAGAATATTTAGCAAGTACAAAAAAATTAAAAATAGAAAATACGGTAAATCCTCGGATTGTAACTTGTTCTGTGCGTGTTCCACAAAACGAGCAAGTGTTTCTAATAAGTTTTAACTTGATAAGCGAGCGATGTCTTGGAGTAGGAGTGGTGCGTGACGCCGAATGTCACACGGTCACAACGGAGCCAGTGGTTCTCCTCCCTCTCTCTCACTCCCTCTCTCCCCCACCCCTCCTTCCCTCCCTCTCCCTCTGCGGGATTGTGGGTCACTGTCTCCCCTGCTTGGATGCTGGGTCTCAGGCCGTGGTGTTTGGCAGAAATCAGTGACTTTTCAGAACATTGGGAGGTGCCCACAACGGGCACTTGTGTATTTTTTGTCACTTCAAAGCACCTGTGGACAGTCCTTTGCTTTCCCATACAAGAGTGAGCTTAGGAATGCTTTGCTTCATTCTAGGTCAGGCTGCCTGCAGCTATAGACCCTTTCCTCTGCTGCCTCATTGCCAGTTCCATTAAATACAGTCTATGACAGCTTACTAATACTGTAGTCAGCATCTGTGCAAACGTATGCAATGGCCCCCATGCAGACAAAGGTTGAAAAGAAAGGAGGTAAGAAGAAGGAGATGATTACAGTGGAAGTTAAGAAGGAAATCATTGAGAAGTACGAACGAGGGATGAGAGTGGCCGAAATTGCAAGATTTTATAAGAAGTCAACATCGACCATTTGCACAATATTAAAGAAGAAAGAAGAAATAAGGGGGCTAGATGCAGCAAAAGGAGTCACGAGAATATCAAAGCAACGCCCACGTGTTCTGGAAGATGTGGAAAAGTTGCTTCTGGTTTGGATAAATGAGAAGCGACTAGCAGGTGACACTGTGACCGAGAACTTTATCTGCGAGAAGGCAAAGGCCTTGTACACCGACCTCGTAAGTAAACTGCCACGTACGTCAACAGAAAATGAAGAAGGCTTTAAAGCGAGCAGGGGATGGTTTGATAACTTTAAGAGGAGAAGTGGCATCCGTAGTGTTGTGAGGCACAGAGAGGCTCCAAGTTCGGACGCTAAGGCCGCTGAAGCGTTCGCTACCGAGTTCCAGAAGCTCTTGGCTTCTGAGTGTTACCTGCCGGAACAAGTTTTTAATTGCGATGAGACGGGGCTTTTTTGGAAAGAGATGCCAAAGAGGACCTACGTTACAGAAGAAGAGAACGCAATGCCTGGTCACAAGCCCATGAAAGACCGTCTCACCCTCTTGTTTTGTGCTAATGCAAGCGGGGATTTCAAAGTCAAGCCCCTGCTCGTGTATCATTCCGAGAATCCACGAGCCTTCAAGAAATGCAAGGTGCAGAAGAGCCAGTTAAATGTTCTGTGGAGGTCCAACAGCAGGGCGTGGGTCACTCGCATCCTGTTCGTTGAGTGGATCAACGAGGTCTTCGGCCCTGCAGTGAGGAGATACCTTTTGGAGAAGAGTCTGCCGCTCAGAGCCTTGCTGGTTTTGGGTAATGCCCCTGCTCATCCTCCAGGCTTTGAGGACGACTTACTGGAGGAGTTCAAGTTCATTAAGGTCAAGTTCCTTCCTCCCAACACCACTCCGATCCTCCAGCCCATGGATCAGCAGGTCATTTCGAACTTTAAAAAGCTCTACACCAAAGCACTATTTCAGCGATGCTTCGAGGTGACCGAAGGAACAAACCTTACCCTCCGAGAGTTTTGGAAAAATCATTTCCACATCGTGAACTGCCTCAAGATCATCGATAAAGCCTGGGACGGGGTCACCAAGAGAACCCTCAATTCTGCTTGGAGAAAACTGTGGCCCGATTGCGTTCTTGGGTGTGACTTAGAGGGGCTCGCTCGTGAACAGCAGCCACCAGTTGTCGATGAAACTGTGTCCTTGGGGAAGACCGTGGGACTGGGGGTGCGTGAGGACGACATTCAGGAGCTGGTGGAGGAGCTTGGCCAGGAGCCGACCACCGACGAACCGATGGATCTGCATCATGAGCAAGAACAGGTTATGGAAGAGATCTCGTCTGCAGAGGAGGAGGAGGAGAAGGCGGAGGAATCCCCGGATCCAAATGAGATTAGGGAGATGTGTAAAATGTGGGAAACAGTGCAAAAATTTGTAGCAAAGCACCACCCGAATAAGGCTGTAGCAGTGTGGGCGATGAATCTGTTTAACGACAACGCAATGTCCCATTTCCGCGAAATCCTCCAACGGAGGCAAAAGCAAGTGTCACCGGATAGGTTCCCTGTTAAAGTTGCACGAAAAGCAAACGATTCCACGCAGGCAACAGAGAGCAGTGATTCCGTCAGTGACCGTGAACGTCGTCCTACCCAGTAACCCTCCTCTCTCTTGTCTCCCTCACACCAGCCACAAAGGTTTTCAAAGGTAAGTGCAGGTTAATTTGTTTATTTTCCTTTATATTTGGCATTTTCTTTATTATTTTATGTTAGATTACAGTATTGTGATCATTTTATATGAATATTTTTGGGTGGTGGAACGAATCATCTGAATTTCCGTTATTCTTATGGGGAAATTCGCTTTGATATACAAGTGCTTTGGATGACAAGCATGTTTCCGGAACAAATCATGCTCGCAAACCAAGGCGTTCCTGTACAGAGACGTGGCAGGCGACACCCTCCCAGGGCCTGCGTGTCCTTCAGGCCCGTGCTCTGTCTCGTGCTGGCAAGGCCGGGCTGTCCCCGCAGTGTGCGCTGTAGTGTGGATGCGCTCAGGTACAGCGCTAGGCCGTGTTGTGAGGACTTTTGTTCCATGACATTAAATGTTTTTGTAAACTGTCCTTTTTAAGTAGCCATTCATCATTCATAGCACTTCTGCCCCATTGTTGGATATTAGGAGGCCCTCACAGAGCAGGCGTGGAGCTGGAAAGCCCAGCTCAACTGTGGGGCCCCCCTCCCCTGGGCCCGGCAGTGGCCTGCGCCCCTTGGGAAAGGGTCCCTGAAGAGCCTCTCCTCGTGAGGCCCCCAGCCTGGACTCCGGAGGCGCTGGCTCCGAGCTGCAGACGCAGGCCTGAACCCAGTTCGGCTCACCGGCGTGACCCGTGACAGTGTGCGCACGGTGGTGAGCGTGCAGAAAGGCACCGGCCCAGAAACAACGGTGTGAGCGGCCCCCGCGGCGGCCCCAGAGAAGCACACACCAGCGGTTCTATCCATGCCCCTCATAGTAGCTCTGGAAAGTTACTTTCATGTGTTTCAAATTGGTAATCTTACTTTTTAAAGAAAGGAACAGCTCCTGAGTTAAACCAGTAAGTTAAAAGTCACTCCCAGCAGGATGGACAAAATAAAACAGGCACCACCAAGTGTTGGCAAGGATGTTCAGAACCTGGGCCCCTCCTTGTGTGTGGCGGGAAGCAGTCTGGCCGCCCCTCAGCCCAGCAGCGCCACTCCTGGACAAATGACAGCATGCCGCCACGTGAAACACCCGTGCACGAATGTCCACAGCAGCCACAAGGTGGAAGTGACCCGCGTGTCCATTGGCAGAGGAGTGTGACCCATCGTACCGTGGGATGTGGCTCGGCCACGGACAGGGAAAGCACCAGCAGCGCTGCAGCACGAACGGACCTTGGAGACAGCGCGCTAGGTGACAGGAGCCAGACACGAAAGGCCACGTGTCATGCGATCCCATTTCTGTGGGCATCTACAACAGGCGGGTCCCAGGAGACAGAAAGTGGGTTTGTGGCTGCCAGAGAGGCCCCGTGGGGAACGAGGGCTAGCAGATCACGTGATGAAAATGTACCGCCAGTAGGTAGCGGTGGTGGTTTCTCACACCTACATGTACCAAAATACCAAGCTGTGCACTTTAAAGGGGGAGATTGTATAGTACACGTATTATATCAATAAAACTTTTTTTTAAAAATCACTGAGCTGTGTGCCCAGACATTTGTTTGATTCCGTTTGAAAACGAATTGGAACAGCTTTCAAATTAGTATTCTCATTTAACCAGAGAGACCCGAGTGGCCCGTTTTCAGGGTCCAGGCTGCACACCCAAATGTGTCTGGGGTGGTGACCCCAGCCTCCCCACATTTGGGGGGGGACAGCAGGGTGACTCTCTGATGCCGTTGTGCAGAGTGGTGCCTGTGGGCCCAGACATCCCATCTCTGCTGGGGAGGCGCCCGGGCACCTCCAGGGCCCCCATTGTCTGGCTGGCTGCTTTTCCAACCAAGGCCCAGCGTGCCCAGTGGAAATATGTGAACCACACATGTGCTTTTAAATTTTCTAGTACGGGGAGCCTGGCTGGCTCAGTTGGTAGAGGACGCATCTCTTGATCTCAAGAGTTCAAGCCCCTTGTTGGGCATAGAGCTTATGTTAACGTTAAAAAAAGGGAGGCAAGTTAATTTTTCTAAATGTTTATTTTCGAGAAAGCATGAGTGCAGGAGAGACAGAGAAGGGAGGGCAGAGGATCCGAAGTGGGCTCTGTGCACTGATGTGGGACTTGAACCCGTGAACCGTGAGGTCATGACCTGAGCTGGAGGCGGACACTTAGCCACCTGAGCTACCCAGGCGCCCCAGGAGATGAAGTCAGCTTTCATTTTCCAGCTCCAGTATTCCCTGAATATCGCCGCGCCCACCTGTAATCGATGTAAAAGGTCAGTACTGAGACAGTTTCTGCTTTTATCCCAGGTACATTTTGCTGAAGAGTAGGGCGTGGCTGACCTGTTGGCTGGTGGGAGGGTGCGGACCAGTGCTGGGCTGGGGGCGGGGACAGGGACTCCGGGCCCCAAGGGCCCCCCCATGGGGGTGACGGCTTCGGGGGCTCCCAGCCCGGTGCCAGCTGATGACCCTCTGAGCAGCCTCCGTGGCATTCCTGCCGCACGTCTTATGGGCAACATGGGAGGCGGCTGCCCTCCACGGGGCCTAGGGAGGCTGGGCACGGCGTGGAGGGCTGGGCGCTGTGTGGGCGGCCCCGGGGGAATCGGGGGCTCTGGCACACCAGGCAGTGAGGCTGGCAGCTCCATAGCCACCCCCTCATCGTCCTCAGCCAGTCCCGTGATGAAGGGCTCGGGGCTCACCTGGAGAGGGGGTCACACGGCTCGCACCCCCCTATTTGCAGAAAGCATTATAGGAAAGTGCTGATGGAAGCATGACCTGGTGCCCACACAGGAATGCTTTGGGTGATCTAGTTAAAGGTCACTTCGGTGACTGCAGTGTGGAGAAAACTGTGCTGCGGCCACAGGAAGCACCCTGGCCTTGTTCTCCAGGGATGGATGGACCGACAGGCAAAAAGCTCAAGCCTGCGTCCCAGGCAGCTCCATTGGACCCTCAGTCAGTAATGTAGCTTCTTGCGGGTTCTTGTAACTTCTGCCCTTTTCCTTTAATTTCCACCTTTCTGGGTTATTTGCAGACCAGCTTTAGGTCAGGAGACACCATGAAGCGTCTGCCCCACGCTGTCCTGTCCCGGCCAGGAGCCTGGTCCCCTGGGCTTCCAGCCAGGCCGCAGGCTCGGCTGCTGTGCTCCTCCCACGCACGCGGCCTCTATGCAGAGAGACTGCCAGCGGGAAGAATGTGCCTCCCGGCCCATCTCAGAGCAAGCCAGGGCCCTGTGCTGCTGTCCCTCCTGCAGAGGGGATGGGACAGCCAGGTCACAGCCAGGGCTGCGCGTGTGTCCGCAGCCCTCGCCCTGTGGCTCCCGTGCCCTCGCTTGCCCCAGGCTGCCCACTTCACTGCGCAGCTGGGCCGGGACCCCGGCCTGCACTGTGCGGGCTGCCAGGGGGCTCCGTCTAGAGGAGGCGACACCGCTGGTGGGGTGGCCAGGGCCTGGTTGAGGGGCAGCTTGGTCAGTGCGCCCTGGAGCATCCCAAACCTACACAAACGCCGGGCAGGGCTTGTGTTGACCCTGGCAGTTAGCCAGCCAGTTGTTTTACCAGCAAAACGCGCTAACCCGGGAATGGCAGAGGCTCCGCGACGCGGGACGAGTAAGCCATGGCAAAGCCACAGGCAAGTCTGGACAACAAAGGAGAGGAAGGTTACTTTACAGAGAAAAAGGAGAAGGTCGCCAGGCACTGCTTGGAATGGAAGCCCCTTGGAGGAAAGGGGGGCTCAGGGTGCCGGCAGTTTGTCCTTGGCTGGGTCCCTCCTGCTGAGGTGGTAGATAAAGGGGTGGCTAAAGTAGTGTGCAGGCACACGCAGGTGCCCACCGTCCTGCGGGGTGTGCGGCCGGCGCGGGATGCTCGGGCTGAGGGCTCCCCCTGCTGGCCGTCGGGCTCCACGTAAACCGAGGGCTCCCGTGTTCTGCTGCACATCTGCTGGGGCCTGGCTGGCTTGTGAGGTTGTCGGGCAGGCGGAGGCCATGCGGCCTGCGCCCTCCTGCTGCCCAGTGTGTCGCTGGGCCAGGGGCCGAGCAGGGGCCGGGGAGCAGGAGCCTCCGGAGTGAGTGGGTTCTTGGAGGCGGATGTTCTGTCGTGTTGCAGGGCACCCAGCGAGAACTTGGCTCAGGTCAGCCGCCTTTCAGAAAAAATCATGGTGCTAAATGAGTTGCACGTTTTGACTGTTCGTTTTAAACAGAAGTTCCCACACTGCCAGGAGGCGCGCACCCCAGCGGCCCTGGAAGGCCGTCCGTGGGAAGGCCTGCCTGCTGCTCGTCATGTGGGTTACAAACCTAGCACGTTTCCAGCTAAAGACCATTTGGACTCTAGAGGGTTTTTTTTCCACTTTAAAATGAGGTCAATTAAAAAAGTCTGCCGTGGGGTGAACTTGAACTTGGTCTTTGCCAGCTGTTTTCATTCTCAGAAGCACATGGGTTTCAGTGTGTGGCTGTACTTTGTCCAGGGCTCAGGAACAGAACAAAAGTTGTGTAACGAGAGCTGAGCTGAGCTTCAGTGGCCTCGGCCCGTTCCCAAGGTGGGGAGGGTGCAGCTCCGCCTACCTGCCCTGGAGCCTGCCTGGGGACAGAGCCCACTGCCCTCCTCTGGGTGGCCAGATGCTGGGTGCTATGCTTCTTAGAGAAGACGGGAAGAGAGCCTGTGGCAAATTGGAGTCATAGGGGTTTCTCCTCTAGAAAAAGACCCCTCCCTCAAAAGAGCCATTTGGTCACCTGCCTCCTTCCTGGGCTGACCAGCAAGGTGGGTGGCTGCAGTGCGAAGGAGGTCTTCAGGGTCATGGCAGTTTGTCCTGGACGCAGCGTGGACAGAGCCTGACCACAAGGCGTGAATGGACCACACGGGACCGCAGGGCAGGATTCCCCCTCTGGTGACCCGACCTGAAGGGGCAGAAGAACGTTGCCTGCACTGATGCTAGTCTTTAGTATCATTCTGACTGGACTGGGGCTCCGCCTTTTTAAAAATTTATTTGAGAGGCTGGGGGTGGGGAATGAGTGAGGGAGAG